TTTATTTTATTTCGTACAATTTAAATGATAAAATATAATTATCATTAAAAAAATGAAAAAGAGCTACCATTGTGCATAAAAAAATAAATATATATTATTATAAATTGACTCTTAAATAAAAAAATAAAATTAATATTTTAAATAAAAAAATTAAAAAATTAATATCTTTCCCTATAACTTATCATAGCCAAGTTTTGACATTTTTTGCCATGCAGGCTGAAGCACTTTGTGTTTGTTCAATTAAAAACTGTCCATGGTTTCATTTGTTTTTGTCCTATATCCAACTAACTTAAAGTTACAGTTCCTGCTAAAATCCTACAAAGAAAAAGAGACAGAAAAAGTTAATAATATGAATCTCTACTTTACTCTTTGTTTCTCCTTCTACTATTTCAGTGGGGTGGGGTTGTTCTGAGTTTTTTTTTTTTTTTCTTTTTATGTTGGTTGCATAAGGAGAGAGAACATTTTTATCTCTTTATATCACCTCACTTGCATGTTAAGCAACTCGAATTTAATATCTTTTACTTTTAACAAAAAAAAATTATTACTAAACTATTTAGGTCGTCCGTGGATTATTGTAAGTTTTATTTTGTTGATTTGTCATCTATCTGTTGTTAATTTGCCCCCACTACTTTTTCAACACAGATTGATATGTTATGTACATGCTTTGTCAATTGTTGGGGTTAGGTGGTTTGGTGGGAATTTTATGTATAATCCTAATTAATTATCCAATAAAAGAAAATAAATAACAGGGGAATCTTAATTTTAATCAAAAGAACGATTATTCTACCCTGTTTTCAATTCAAACTGAGTGCGCTTCAAACGCTAAAATTACGATTAAAATTACTAAAGTATTTTTAATAATTTAATATAAAAAATTTTCATTAAAAATAATTTGATAATTTTATATCTCGGATTGGTGATTTATTGTGCAATCTAACTAACAAACACATCGTATAATTTTCCCTCATAACCCTATAAATCAGCAATAAATCAGCAATCAGATTGGGTGTACACAATCTAACCCGCTAGTAATAAATTTTTTAATATCTAGAATAAGAGATTTAAAGTTCATGTAATAAGTATATAAATTATGTTAAATTAAGTGTAAACAAAATTAAAAATCTATAAAAGAATCTAAATTACATTAAATTACATAATTAAAATTATTAAATGGAAAATAATCCTTGATATTAGGATCTTTCTCTCATTTAATAATTATTATTTTATTTTATTTCGTACAATTTAAATGATAAAATATAATTATCATTAAAAAAATGAAAAAGAGCTACCATTGTGCATAAAAAAATAAATATATATCAAAAAGTCATTTTATAATTAACATAATAAAATAGTGCACTCAATTTTTGTTTATAAAAAAATAATTAATTTTAAAATAAAAAATTATATTACAGTACACTTTACAATGAATTGTAACTTTAAAACCGAAAAAAGCAAAAAAAAAGAAAAAGAAAAAGAAAAAAAGAGAGAGAGATTTTCTGATATTGGGCTCTCCGCCTCCCATTTTGAAGGTTTATAAAACAGTATTCTTATTTAAAAATCAAAATTAAAGATTTAAGTCTCATAAAAAACTTTGGGATTGAAAAAAAAAAAAAAACGACAAACAAGCCAACCAAATTGGATCCTTAGCCACTTTGGGGTTTTTAACTATTTATTTTTCCTTTTGCAGTCTCGTTGCAGGTTCTCTCTCATGCAGGGTGCAGCTTTGTGATTGTGGAAGGCAAGCAGAAGACTTTAGTACTGTATTTACAAGAAGGTATGGTTTGATTCTGAAAATGCAGAATTTTTTTGTTTGTTTAACTTTAATTTTCTAAAATAATGAATGAAGTGTTAGATGTTATATTTCGATGGATAGGTGATTATTTGAGCTAGAGTTCTTCTTTGGTATTGGGTTTATTTAAGCTCCACAAGTTGTTTTCTTTCTTGTGTATTTCCTCTTAGGGGTGACTTTACGACTTGGTTTGTTAACTCTGAAATATTTTGACTGATTTTCTTTAATGGGTTGTTTCGTAAGAATTTCTTATTTTGGTTAAGCTAAATTCTAGAAACTCTGTTTAGTTGCTTACATTTTAGGAGACCATAGTTAAATTTTGGATCTCGTGTTAGCTGGTTCTTTTTTTTTTTTTTTCTCCCTTGATATTGGTGGTGGTGAACAGCGGTTTAAGAATGGGGAACATGAACCTCACTAATCTAGCTACAAGCTGAGTTGCCATTTCAGCTCTTTAAATGAGCATATTGTGGAGTTGCTTTTGCTTTCATCTAGTTGGCAACCAACTCCAAGTGAACAGTGAAAAGAAAGTTTTTCTTCCAAGTGTCCCAAGTTTTAGTTTTGCTCCAATTAGTAATCTTTTGTTGAAAATGTGATAAGGGCTTCTTTAGTTTGAGCAAAAAATGAATTAACTGTTATTTTTTTAGGGAAATTATGGATATGGTAAGTTTGATGTTTTTCTCTCTAATTTTTATATGCTCCATCACTTGCAGGTTGGATGGAAACAAATTCTGTAAGATGTCTTATCAACAGTATTTCTCTATTCATTCATCTGGTTTCATGCCAGAAAATGAAACTTATGCCCGTTGAAGAGGCTTACAGAATTATGGTTGTTGTTTTAAAACTTTTGAAACCACTGCTTGATGAAGTTGTTGATTACAAGATACCATTCGATGCAATTCTATATAAAGAATGCGAAGAACTAGATGTGTCTGTTAATGAGGCTCAGGAACTGATGGAGAATTGGCGTCCAAAACTGAGCAAGATCTACAGTGTGGGTAATGCACTACTGTTGCTAAATACCCTTCCTGTAGGTGAAATGCTTACTAGAAGGATAACAATGGTGTTAGAAGAACAGGTATTCTTTTAATGGATTATCTTTTTATTTACAACTGATTTGCTTGCATATTCTGATTTTTATTCTTTAACTCATGGCTAAGAATTTCCAAACATGAAATTCATGAAATCCTGTAAAGATTCAGTTGATTGTGTAATGTTACAATTTATGGAAAGATTTTTTTAAGTCCAATGTCCACATGCAACCAACTTGTTATTGGTTGCAAAAGAAACTATTTCTTTCCTCTTGTTTTGGTTACAAGCAAATGGAGAATATGGCATTGTCAAACAAAGATATTCAAATAAGTGGATTTTAGGTAATTGTGTTGTATGTACACTTCCTCCTTTGAGCGGGGAAGTGGGTAGGATTTTCAGATTTCTCCTTATCATCTTATAATCTTTCATATTCCAGGTTCTGCAGAGCGAATCCTTTCTGGTGAAAATGATAAGCTCTTCACTTAACATATGTCACATCTTATATAGACTGTTAGAGTCATCTCCATCCACTTCAAGCATGAATGATGTACAGGTATGTAGTCAAACTCTTTTCCTTAGGTTTCTTAAGGTTGTTGGATTGCAGCTGTTATCACTTTCTCAATTTCTTATTTGACTAAGTAGTTGAGGCTAACTTTGGTTCCACTGTTTCAGCATTGTATCCAGCAAATCAAATGTTTGAAGCAGGAAAGGATAGCAGAAGATATAGAGGAGGTTTTGAGAAGTCAAAGAGATGGTGTACTTCCATTCACTAATAATCTTATAAAAGTTATTCAATCCCTGAACTTGACATCAAACCAGGAACTTTGAGAGAAAGTGTAGCCATAGAGGAAGCAAGAAAGAATGCTTAAGCCAGAAAAGTGGAAGGGAAACAGGAGCAATTTGACCAACTTGTGGATCTGATCTCTCGCATACGTGATTGTATGCTGAAAATTGAGTACTTTGAATCCACAAGTGGAGTCCTGATACCTTCCTACTTCTGTTGTCCCTTGTCATTGGAACTTATGGTAGATCCTATCATTGTGGTTTCTGGTCAAACTTATGATAGGATCCAAAAGTGGCTGGGTCAGGGGTTCACCATTTGCCCCAAGACTTGTCAAACACTCACACATGCAAATCTCATTCCCAATTACACTGTCAAGGCTATGATAGCAAGTTGGTGTGATGGAAACAAAATGCCACTTCCCAACAACTCTGAGCACACCATTTGTGTCTCACTCTCATCTCCTTCAAATCACATGTCTTCTCAGGATTTTGTCCACGCTAATAGCTTTCATAGTTCTCAATGTAGTAGCAGTTTCGCATCAAGAACATCTCTTGAAGCTGTAAATGGCCTGGTGAAGCACAAGGTTGATGTCTTGCCTAGATTTAGTGGAGAATATGCCAGATGCAAAAGCAGGGACACTGAAAAGTATGATCACTTATCTTCTGAGCAATCATATATTCACAGCAGGACTGAATCAGTCTCAAGTGCAATTTCCAGTGTTGAATCAGTCTCAAGTGCAATTTCCAGCATTCTGTGATGCATCAATCTTGGCCAAGAAACATGAAAACGTGAATGAGTTCTCAGAAGAAATTTGTCCTGCTACTTCTCCTTCAATTAAAGAATCTCCCTGGTTAACAGGAAAGCAACTCCATATCTCTAGAATAAAAGCAGAAGAAGTTGAAAATGGAAGCTGTAACTGCAGCACAGTACGGTCCCTTGCATTTACTGACTCCGGATGTGATAATCTGACCACAACTTCCCATGTCAAGAAATTGGAAGAAGAACTTAAAAGCCAATCAAGTGAAGTCAGAACAGCTGCTGCTGCAGCATTGCACATTCTTGCAAAGCATGACAAGGACAATCGTGTTACTATAGGCCATTGTGGTGCCATTGGGCCTTTACTTTCACTGTTATACTCAGAAGTGAAACTAACAAAAGAGCATGCTGTCACTGCTCTCTTGAATCTATCAATTAATGAAGACAATAAGGCCATGATCGTGAAAGCAGGAGCAGTTGAACCACTTATTCATGCTTTGAAGCCTGAGAATAATGTAGCCAAAGAAAATTCTGCAGCAGCTCTCTTCAGTCTCTCTGTTTTCAAAGAATATAAGGCAAAGATTGGCAGATCTGGTGCAGTCAGAGCCTTAGTGGATCTGTTGGCCTCAGGGACACTGAGAGGAAAAAAGGAGGCTGCTACTGCTTTGTTTAACTTATCAATTCTTCATGAAAATAAGGCTTGTATAGTTCAAGCAGGAGCTGTGAAATATCTAGTTGAGTTGATGGATCTTGATGGTGGGATGGTTGAAAAAGCTGTTGCCCTTCTTGCGAATCTTTCAACTATTGGGGAAGGGTGTCTGGCAATTGCTCAGAAAGGGGGTATCCCTTTACTAGTAGACATCATTGAATCAGGATCCCAGAGGAGTAAGGAAAATGCTGCTTCCATATTGTTGCAGCTTTGCCTTAATCGTCCCAAGTTCTGTACCCTGCTTTTGCAAGAAGGGGCTGTCCCACCCCTTGTTGCTTTGTTGCAGTCTGGGACATCAAGAGCAAAGGAAAAGTAACAGCTTAGACTTTTCTTTCTTTTGTGCTTCAGTAGAGTCCATTATATGCTTTCTTATCACTTATCTTATCACTTATCTATATGACCCAAGGAAAATTTTGACCAATCTGGTTGAATCAAATTGAGAAGTATATGAAATATCAGAATTGGCATTTTAGCCTTTTGGTGTCATTTCACTAGTAAATATGAATTTTATGTTCCTTTACTTTTTCTAAATTGCCTCTTGGGAGGGTTGAACCACCCCCACCCCCCCCCCCCCCCCCCCCCTCTAGAAAAAAGGGAGGGAAAGAGAAAAGTACAAGGATAATACCCTTTTGTAAATCATTTATCTGATATATAACCTACCATCTGTGGTTCATCTAAATGGTGACCTAGTTTTTTTAGTATAATATGATTCAAAGAGGATTATTGGGGTCCTATGAGAAGTGTGATATATAAACTCTTGTATTGCAGGCACAACAGCTTCTTAGTCACTTCCTGAGCCAGAGAGTGGGGACCATGGGGAAGGGGGAAATCATGAAGAGCAAAGAGAAACAGACTTAGCTTCTTTGCCAATTTTCTCTACTGTTTTGGTATCCTACCCCATTTAAGTTATGCCCCCTTGAAATCAACTTTTGATGATCTTTTCCACATTATCTTTAGTTTTCAGCTACATCAATTAGCTGCATATAACTTTATTCTTTAATTCCCCCACTCTCCCACTTGTTTGGATCTTTTTTTCTATTATTTTGGTATCTTACTCCATATAGCTTTTTCTTCCTTTGCTTCTTTCTTCATTTTGGGTTTCCTGGGTTTTGTTGTCCTTAGCACTTAGTTTGCTTAGTTTGCTCTTGCATCAATTTAGTTTGAATATATGTTGTCTTGGATATGCTCTTCGGTTTTGTAGACACTTTGTACATATGCCATAGGCTTTTGTAATAAACTATAAAGTCACTTCAACATTTTTGATATTTGATGTCAAATGTTCCTTCCATCTTCCTTTCTTTTTTTGGGTCTCTTCCATCTTCCATCTTCCAACAGGGAAAAGTGGCTGGCAGTCACAGACATTGATTTTGGAATGCTTTTTAGAACGCAAGCAATTTTGTGCTAGGCTCTGTGAAGCTCTAGAACTGCACTTTTTCAGGTGAAAATATTTAAAATTTCCAATGAGCAACTACAAGAAGCCTGCATGTACATCTGAACAAACTCTTGTGAGGGATCTAGCTCCTTAGCTGGTCTCTGAACTCTGAATGAGTATGATCTAGTTCATTTCTTTCTTCACCATATGGTGCTCTGTTGTCTTTGTGGATGCTAAAAGTTGAAATGCCTATGAATAATGTTTCCATGATTCCTTCCTCAGAGACTTTTTCAAGGTTCAGTTTCTTTTGAATTACCTGGAAACATGGGGTCCAAAACCAAACATATTGCTTGGAGTTGAAAGCCATTTGATTTGAAGAAAAATTTTTTATTTTATTTATTCCTGAAAAAATTTGCCTAGAAAGTCAGAAAAGTTTTGTACCTACCAAAAGAAAAATGAAAAAAGTTAGAAAGTAGGTAAATTTTATCAGTAGATATTCTAAAACCGTAAACTTTATTAAATTTTTGTTGGGCCAGAAAGCTTTACTAAACATTTGTTTTCTTTTTTTTTTGGTAAAATACTAAACATTTGTTGAAATTATAATTTTACAAGTTTAGTGAGAAGTTGAGGTTACACTTTTTCAAGAAAAATTTCAAAATGAGTAGAATTGAAAAAGTTGGAAAAAAAAATTTACATCTCAAAAATTTAATCTCAATTTT